TTCTCTCTCCTCAGCTGTGAAGGCCCTCTTAGCACACTGTGCACGGCCTGTAGCCAAACCTGCCTCAGTCCTGCCCTGCACGTGTTCTCCCTATGCCACTCAGCACAGAATGTTTATTTTTCCTGCATCTTCAACAGAGTTCAGCCCTGTGCTTAGGTTCTCCCAACTAGTAAATTGTTTATTTCAGCAACAATAGGAACTACATCCTCTTCCTGTATCTTCCATAGTGCCTAGAGAAGTGTTGACCTGTGGTAACAATGTAATAGATGCCCTTGGGTAAATGATATATGATAAAGGTAGGGTGTTAGTATTTACTGAATATGTATTTGAATCATAAGGCATTTATAGTTTTGCCTTACATTTACTTTGTTTTGTGCTATAAAAGTCACTGAAATTTTACTTAACACATTGCACACCAGTAGTTTTATTGTTAGCTTTACCCAGTGGCCAGGTAGGTTTCTATTGAACAAGTACAAAAAACTTGTACAAAGTATCATACTTTAAAAAGATATTAACTTGCAAGAACATGTGATAAATAACTTCAAAATACAATGGGTATTTAATTTTAAGGCGTGCCTTTAACATTTATGTAAAACACTGTGTAATAAGAAAACACGAGAATGCTCATGATTCTCCCACGATGTGTTAAGTTTAGATATTATCAGGACCATTCAGATAACTACTGCCAAGGGTTGAAAGATTAGTGTCTGAGGTGGAAGGCAATTAATGGCTAATGAAGGTAAAGGACTGAACATGGCAATTAATCAAAGTAGGGCAAAGGGGGAGAGCTAATGGTAAAATGGTAAAATGCTGAAGGGGAGCCCTGCGTGGGAGAGCAGGAGGCTCGCCAAATTAAGTTGGCTTCAAGGAAATCTGTTTATACTTCATAATCATGGATCTGCCTAGATATTGTGTGTTTACTGGGTTGATAATGCAATCCTTTGACATGAGTTTCTCAGCAAATATTTTTTCCTATTCTATAACTTATTAATATTTGGATTGACTGTATATGAAATGTGAAGTATATATGAACATAATATTCTTACAGTTCAACTTACGTGTCACAAAACCTGTAATGATCTTTAAGATGTCATGTTTCACAAGTATTGTGTTAACTGATGTTAAAATTTTTCTGTAGGTATGTCATCAGCATGCTCATTTTTCTGATATTAAGGAAATAAGTGTTCCACATAAATTTTTAATCTTACCCTTGTATACATCAAACTTGTAATAATGATAAAGGTTCTTAAAAACGTATTTTCTATTTCTTATGTTAAACGGGAAATACTGAACCTCCCTCTCCGGGATGACTTGGACTCATTAACACTTGCACTCTGCCGTCAGGAGCTGTCTGCTCAAGTCTGTTGTTGCCACAGCTGCTGTCAAGTGCCAGTCCCCCCATTCCCTTTCCATGCCCTCCCCCCTCCCCTTCCCCCCTTCCCCCCCCCCCCCCCCCTCCCCGCCAATGCTGCACATGCTCACCCCCACTTAACAGGTGCACAGACACACCCTCATGCCTGCTCTCTCTTTATTTCTCCTCCCCTGCCTCAGAATTTGCTTCTTTAGCCTGGGAAATAGAAAAGGTAGAACTGGTTAAAATTCTAAAATTGGAAGGAATTTTAAGTTAAGGCTCTCTTGTTAAAGCATGAGTTTTTAAAGTAAAGCCTTTCTAGTATCTATTTAACTTGTTGCTAATTTCCTCGTTTTTCTCCCTGGAGATATTTCAGAATGTTACATTTCTACCTTGAATAATATATATGGGGCTTGATTTTTAGTGACCAGAGTGAGATGAGAAATTAAAGAAAATGTTAGCCAATTATTGTAATAATTGTGTGTCTCTTGTCTTTCCAAGTTCTTGAGATGCTTTGCAGTTTTAGTGGACAGATATTGTCTGTGACACCCAAGACTCTTATCTTAAATGTTTCATTTGAGCTCTAATAAGCCTTAATGTTCATTGTATTTAGGAACTGGATAATTTCCGTTTATAGCCGCACATTTTTATTTTTATTTTTATTTTTTTAATATTTTTATTGATTTTATACAGAGAGGAAGGGAGAGAGATAGAGAGTTAGAAACATCGATGAGAGAGTCATCGATCAGCTGCCTCTTGCACACCCCCTACTGGGGATATGCCCGCAACCAAGGTACATGCCCTTGACCGGAATCGAACCTGGGACCCTTCAGCCCCCAAGCCGACGCTCTATCCATTGAGCCAAACCGGTCCCGGCAATAGCCGCACATTTTTAAAGCAGGCACACTAATGTGTATGTTTGTCACATTGGGTTTTAAACTCTGAGGACTCATTAAAATTGATCAGTAATTAATCACTTAATAATATTAAATATTTTTCACTATGATGTAGTTAAACAATCCACTTACTAGTATCTGCTCTATAATAAGTACTACTTTGGCAATAGAATTAATGGTGATCAGGAAATTTTATGTAGCGTAGCTTTCTTAAGGCAGGTTTTATTTTATTTTTTATTAAGGCAGTTTTTAAAGTGATTCATCAACTCCTTAGCAAAATGTCAATTTATTAAATTGCACATTTAATATTGACTTTTATAACATAAGTGTTTATATGAAGTTGTAACTCACTTATAGAACCTTGTAGCTCTGTGTAACATTCTAGTGAAATGTACACATACGGGTGCCCCTATAAGGAATTCCAGCCCTGTGAATTTATGAATCTGTTCACTTCAGTATTTAGTCAGCCTTTTTCTGAGGCCATCACCATAATTGCCATGTTATTGGAAATAAAGTTAAATTTTTCCTGATTTATCAGGATAACTTCAATTTTGAGGAATGTAAATCAGCTCATAGCTGGCTGAAAGCCCGTTTCTCCTTCCCTTTAACTCCAGCACACACATGAAAGGTGCACTCACTTCCCAAGTGCCTTATGAATCTGCAGTGATTAATTCTTCTCATTATTTTGCTGCAAATTCTCATGACCCTCTCTGATGATTCGATCAGCCACTTAGAGTTTATGCATATTCATATCTCTGCTCCTGCCGCAGTCATTCATGTCTCCTTCCCTGACTGGTGTGTTCTTGGTGCAGTAATTGAGCTGCAGTAGATTGATTACTCTGGGGAGCTGTAAGGCCTTTAAAGGTGAAAACATATCAGTCCTGTTAATTAGGAAACAAAAGCTCTGGTGGCAAGTTCAGGAGTCAGATATTTCCAGTGTAGAAAAGACGAAAGGTGTGATTTGTTCCTCTCCATGAATGCTGTTTACTTTTCAAATTTTGAATTAAGTCTGTCTCAGTGGTAGTAAAGAAAAGATATCTTTATGAATTTTTATAGAATGCTAAAGAGGACCTTAATACTATTTTTTGTGATCTCTCAAATCTGATAATTTAAAAACACCTTACATAGCATTGGGAATGCTTGCATAAAATGTTTTAATATTTTGCATAACTATAGAATGTGGATTAATGTTGGTATTTAGTAGTGTGCTGTATGAAAAAAGGGTGAAACTTTATTCAACGTGGCATGAGCTGCCTTTTCGTCTCTGTATGATAAGCATCCTTTGATTTTTCGGTCTCTAATTGAACTAAGTAACTAGAGGCCCAGTGCACAAAATTCATGCATGGCGGGAGGGGGTGTCCCTCAGCCCAGCCTGCACCCTCTCCAGTCTGGGATCTCTCTCACAATCCAGGACTTCTGGCTCCCAACTGCTTGCCTGCCTGATTGCCCCTAACCTCTTCTGCCTGCCAGCCTGATCACCACCTAACTGTTCTCCCCTGCCAGCCTGGTCGCCCCTAATTGCCTTCCTCTGCAGGCCTGATCATCTCCAACTGCCTTCCCCTGCTGGCCTGGTTTTTCCCAACTGCCCTCCTCTGCTGGCCATCTTTGAACACATGGGGGCGGCCATCTTGTGTGTTGATGACCAATTTGCATATTACCTCTTTCTTATATAGGATATTATATAGGATACATTGTCCTGACCAAGAGGACTTTGTATGGAACAGTGACCTCCATAAGTAAGCTAGTTTCAACATGGATGTTAATGCAGCTTATATAGTTGACATGTTTTTCTCCTATGTGCTGTTAAAGGGTACAATTCAATGGATTTTAGCATATTCTCAAAGTTACACAACCATCATCATTGATTTTTGGAACAGTTTCATCACCCTAACCTGAACCCCATATTCATTAGCAGTTGTTCTCCATTTCCCCCCTTCTCTGAATCCCTAACAACCAATAATCTACTTTCTCTCTCTACAGATTGACCTCTTCGAACATTTCATATATATGGAATCAAATTATATGTGGTTTTTTATGTCTGGCTTCTTTTACTTGACATAATGTTTTTAAGTTTCACCTATATTTATCGTGGAGCAGTACTTCATTTTTTTATGGCTGAACAAAATTCCATTATTTGGCTACACCACATTTGAGCTTCATTCATCATCAAACATTTGTGGTCTTTTTTACCTTTTCGCTATTGCTGCTAATAATACTAATGAACATTCCTATACATTTTTGCTCTGTTCTTTTTTTAAAATGTTTTTATTGATTTTAGAGAGGAAGGAAGAGGGAGAGAGAGATAGAAACATCAATGAATGAGCGCGCAACCCGGGCATGTGCCCTGACCAGGAATCGAACCGTGACCTCCTGATTCATAGGTCAACACTCAACCACTGAGCCATGCTGGCTGGGCTCTTGCTCTATTCTTGATCTTAGGGAGAAAGCTTTCAGCCTTCTGCACTGGGAACAAAGTTAGTCATCAGTTTTTCTTGGATGGTGTTTTATCAGGTTAATTTCCTTCCTAGTCCTACTCTGTTAGTGCTTTTACCATGAAAGATTGTTGGTTTTTATCAAATGCTTCTTCTGCATCTATTGACATTATGTGATTTTTGTCCTTTATTACTATAACATGACTAATGGGTGGATTTCCTTATGTTGAACTTTATGATATTCTATATAGCTTTTATATAATAACCTTTTTCTATGTGGTTTTAAATAATTTGAACCAATTTTTCTACCTTATATTTCAGGCATTTATTAATACAGCAAAAGAAATTTATGAAAAAATTCAAGAAGGAGTCTTTGACATTAATAATGAGGTATATACATTTAAAAGTTATTGGCTAATATTTATTTGTATGTGTTTTTTGTGTGTGTTTTTAGTATAGTTTACATTTACTGTTTGATTAGTTTCAGGTGTACAGCATAGTGGTTAGATAATCATGTACTTCTAATTAATTTAAAACAATTTTAATTACTACTTGGATTCATGATTTTATATTCTTTAATCCTAAAATGGATATGTGTTGTCATTTAATACATTAGTTTAAAATCATATAACTGAAAATTGTTGGATATTGTAAAATAGTTAAATGTTTGTGTTCTAGTAGAGCATCCCTCTATCTATGCAAATGGATTAAAGTCAGTGACCCTATCCATTTGTTGTAAGCAATGCAAAATAATATAAATCCTCCAAAGAGAAGAAAATCCACTTTCATCCACATGTCCATATGGTGTCATCTGCTTTGGGGAATAATTTTCTAGTTGTGTAAATGCGTGTGCTATGTCACTAATGCAGATGATGCTCTCCCTGTTGTCTGATATGAAAGTGGGATATACCTAGTTTGGAAATTATTTTTACTTTAGCATAGTATATTTTCAGGAAACTAAATTAATATATGTGATTGGCCATTGGCACTAGTTTGCTTTTCTGGGGGTTTTGTGTTTGTTTTTTCTAAAATTATTTTGAGCCCACTTTGATCAACATAATTAGGATAAAATGTAAAGCTATGAAACATACAATTCAGAGTGTTTAAAAGGTCTTCATTTTGACCTGAATCCCCACTTTATGGCTATAGCGTATTATTTATTTGCCATTCTATAGTAAGCTTTTTTGCTTCCAAGAGCAAAACTCTTACTCCTCACCCAGTTACAGTTAGGAAAGCACTAGGAAACCATCGCATATCTGTCTCTTGGCATATACATAAATGAGGCTCTTTATTATTTGCCTCAGTATTCTTTGCTGAAATCAAATAGTTGGCCTAAATTTTCTAAAAAGAACTTTATTTTCTCATTTGTTTTAATTTGAAGTATTATGTTTCCTAAATCCTATCTTCTAGGTTTATATGGCAATAGATCTTGTGTTAATTTAAAGGCAACACCATTCAAAGACTAATGCCGTGTAAATTGAACAGTAATTGAGCCTCTCGGTAAAAGTGCACGTTCATTGTTTCTGTCTGCTTTCATATAGTAGCTGACTGCTGCACTGGGCCTGGTGCAGCTTTGATTGTAACGTGCTGTCAGGAGCCAACAGGCCATGCGATTTATTTGGCCAAGTGCCAAATCTGACTCCTTGATTCCTCAAGAAGTTGCTACCAGCCCAGAGGGGGCAGAACCAATGAGCCATAGGGCATGCTTTTTATTAAAGAGGAGTCAAAAGAGCGAAAAAGAAACCGCATCAGCTGCTGTCAATACTGAGCTAGTGCCAGAAACCCCAAGGCTACTACTGTTGCAGAACAACTGCCAAGCACTATAAATCTGAGATTTACTGTGACGTAAAGTTTCCTTAAGAGCTTAATTTCTGAAGCTACTGTATTACTTTTCTCAAAGTGTTGTATTTTTAGGTAAAATCCACTTGAGGGAGTGAGGGTTAAGACATAAGTGTGAGTTTGATGAATGAAAGAACTGCTCTGTGTGTGGGTTCTTGGCAAGCTGCCATGTCTTTGGGGATCATAGAAATTATTGATGACACAGAACACTCTTATGCCCTTAGCCTGTACAGCTGATTCAACATGGAAGAGAAATGCTGTCTAGAAAGAAGATTTGACATTGTATTAGAGCAGCATAGGCTTTACATAGTTTTATCTTTTAAAGATGATTGTTTTCAGAAATATTTCCACAATATTGTCCCTAAAAGGAAGAAACAGCCCCTGAGAGAGATTGTTTTAATTGTTGTAAAAATCTTCTTAATATTTTTCTGAGTTGTTTGGTAAAATTGTATCATTAAGAATGCAATGGATTTTTATTGGATCCAGTTACATGTATTATTCTTTGTCTTTTATTTCAGGCAAACGGCATTAAAATCGGCCCTCAGCATGCTGCTACCAACGCCACACTTGCAGGCAGTCAGGGAGGACAGCAGGCCGGGGGAGGCTGCTGTTGAATCTGTTTTTACCGTCGCACTGCCCACATGGGGCTACTCACTGCTCCTTTCACCCTCTCCCACTCAGCTGCGACATGGAACTATTTGAAATGGCTTTATGTCACAGAAGACTTTACTCTTTCAAATTCTTGTATAACTTTGAATAAATGGTTAATGTTCACTTAAAAAGACAGATTTTGGAGATTGTATTCATAACTATTTGCATTTGATTTCTAGGTCAATTGATGTGATTATTTTTGTTAAATGTTGTCTTGTGCCCTTACCTACGAACTGAATTGTATTAAACACTACAAAGTCATCTTGAGTATTTTAAATCAGTTTGTGTAGTTAGGTTTCCCAACACCTGTGGTTACCTAATGTTTAATATTAATAGAACTGTCCTCAAAAAGTTTGTCAACTTTCAAGGCTATAAGGAAAAACCAGAAGGATTCTTTTAATTCTATATTTATCAGTTACTTTCTGTATATATAGTTTAATAACCTGCTTGGGTGTAATTTGCCAAGCTTGAATTCATTAATGCATTTGCATAAATTCTAAACTGTTTAGAGCTTAAAGCATTGTTAGGAATTGCTTGGACACTGAATTTTAAACTTTTTGACATTGTTAGCAAGCATGTTCATCTTCTCTTGTCACTAGTCCAAGAAAAATATGCTTAATGTACATTATAAAGGCTATGTATGTGTTAACCTGTTTTAATGCCAAAAGTTTGCTGTTTGTCCCACAATTTCTTTAAGACCTCCTCAGAAAAGGATTTGTTTGCCTTAATGAATGCTGTTGGGTAAAAACACAGTATAATGAGTGAAATGGGCAGAAGCAAGAACTTCATACACCTAAGCGACTCCAAGAAGAATGAATGTCCACATTTAGGTGGCCATTATGAGGACTTCAATTTTTCCTTAAACACAATAACTTTTCTTTTATTCACATGATTTCTAAATATATTTTCCATGCAGGACAGTTTTTCAACCTTGATGTACAGTGACTGTGTAAAATTTTTCTTTCAGTGGTAACCTATAATCTTTTAAATATGGTAATTCTTGTCTGTTTTGAAGGGGATATGACAATAAATCTACCAGATGGAAGATCCTGTTAAAAAGTAGAAAAGCTTTAGTAGCTTACTCAGTGTGATGGTTTTATCCTTTTTTCCCCCCCTTTTCTTCCCTAGTCTATAATGAAATTGTTATAGCAGTGCAAAATAAAATCCTATGTATAAAAGTGTTCTTTTTTTATTATGACAACACCAGTTTTTAAAAATCTTTTTTTTTTTTTTTTTTTTTTAGTCCATCCACAGCTTTTGCATGTATCTAAGCATATTTTTTAAAGGGTCAGATGTTTAATGCCCTTTTAAAAATTTTTGCTAAAATGTTATAAAACTCTTCATAATATTGAAATTCTTTTGGTTATTGATGATATAAGCAATATTTTCTTCTCAACCAGCACAAGAGCACATTTAAACTACAAGAAATCTTTATAAACAAGTTCTAAATATGAAACTAACCTTCAGTTCGCTCATGATTTTACCTTTTTCCTATGTCTTCCCTGAATGTTCAGCAATACCCTGTGAAAGCTATAGTATTACTCTTAGGGGATGTCAGCTATCTTAGTTTTGTGTTAACCAGCTCCTGGAGGGCAGGGGAAAGGGAGAGGAAATGGAGTATCGAGTATTTTTATTACAAACTTTTTCCCTGAAAGTGGTCATACCCAGAATCATTGATAGTACCATTCACTCTCTCTAGTGATGAGTAGAAGTTAAGGCAACTAGAAATTATTCCACTCCACACCAAGAAGAGGATGATTCTTTGGGTATTTATTTTATTTTAATATGTTTTATTGATTTTTCACAGAGAGGAAGGGAGAGGGATAGAGAGTTAGAAACATCAATGAGAGAAAATCATCGATCAGCTTCCTCTTGCATATCCCTACTGGGGATGTGCCCAACAAAGGTATGTGCCTGCAACCAAGGATGTGCCCTTGTCCAGCATTGAACCCGGGACCTTTTAGTCCGCAGGCCAATGCTCTATCCACTGAGCCAAACTGGTCCTGGCCGGTTATTTATTTTAAATAGCTGTGAGGTTTTTCAGAAGTTTAATGTTTCTTTTCCATGCTGTCTAGCTTAATTCTTTTATAAATAAAGTGTAAGAAGAGCAACTAATGGTTAAGTAAACAAGAACACATGCTTTAATACCCTAAGAAAAGATAGAGCCCTCAAATACAGCTCCTGCCACAGCAATCTTAACCTGCCTTAGGCCTGGACTGCAGGATGAGTAGTGAGTGGACTCCGCCAGTTCATTACCACTTTCTCTATCTCATCTACTTTGTCAATTGACAAAGTAATGTTACTGTCGGCTCTGTTTGCTCATTTTATCATCCCTATCATAAGTAATGTAATAGTGGCACCTGTAATTGAATCTTTTATACTGTAATTGAGTCTTTAATCTTTGATTAGTTTTTATATCAGTCACTAAAAAGATAAATATAACTTTTAAAGTCTCAACATGTAAACTTCCAATATTGCAATCTTCATAAAAGTAGTGTTACTGTTTCTCTTCTGAATTTAAGACACCTGATTGGAGAGCAGACTTTTGGAAGTGTAGCATATAATTCTACAATACAAGGTGGAGCAAATGTTGGTTTACAGTTGTGAGGATGGGAAAAACAGGTTATTCCTGTATTATTGTTTATTATTTTCTATACAACTGTAATCCTACTTTTGCAATCAACCAGTGAATGCATAAGTAAGTGGAACAACAAACTGATGTCTCTCTCCCACCTCCCTCTCTCACTAAAGTGAATCTTGATACATTTTTTGTGTGTGTGGCTTTTTTTTAAATACACGTTATTAACTGGAAAATTGTCTATCTTCTAATAGTCAATAGGGTAGGAGTGTAAATGATACCAAAATGTGTCTAATTACTAAAAAAAAATAACATGTCTAGCTTTGGAACATATTAAGTACTGATTTTTCTCATAGGTAGTGAAGCTTCATCTGAGCTCAGTAATAAAGTTGGCAGAATAGGGCAGACAATATGAGCTAAAAAAAATATAAGCAGAAAACCTTAATGAAAGAAGATAACCCTGTTTCATAATAAGAATTGACTATACAAATAGACAAACATATCTATTTGTGTTCCTTAGGTTTTACATGTGCTTGGGTGTTCAAATGAAAAAACCTTACAGGAGAGCATCTCACATTGCATTGAGAGATATACAAGATGATAATATATATACAATGGTACCTACTTGGTTGAAGTCATGATGGGAAACTTTAAAGTGCCAGTGTATATATTCAGTGTTCGTTAGCTTTACAAAATCATGAGGCCAACTCAAAAATTTAAGGGCAAAGGACTGAACCACCTGATAGCTATAAAGTATGTATTTTATTTTTTTAATATATTTTATTGATTTTTATAGAGAGGAAGGAAGAGGGATAGAGAACTAGAAACATCGATGAGAGAAACATCGACTAGCTGCCTCTTGCACACCCCCTACTGGGGATATGCCCATAGCCAAGATACATGCTCTTGACCGGAATCGAACCCGGGACCCTTCAGTCCGCAGGCCGACGCTCTATCCACTCAAACCAGTTTCAGCTAAAATATATATTTTTAAAAACATATTTGGAGGAATGCAAATTAAATACTAAAATATATTTTCACCGGAAGGCATGTTTTTATTGATTTTTAGAGAGAAATGGAGAAAAAACATCTATCAGTTCCCCCCCCTAGGTGCCCTGACTGAAGACCAAACCTGCAATCCAGGTGTGGGCCCTTGACTGAGAATAGAGCCCACAAGCTCTTGGTATACAGCACAGTGCTCCAGCCAACTGAGCTGCCTGGCCAGCACCTGTGGGATTCTTGCCAAAAGTATATATCCTCAGCTAATCATTAGGAAACCTCAGACAACCCCAAAGTGAACATCATGCAAAATAAGTGTCCAGTGATCATCAAGGCTATAAATGGGGAACTCCCCTGGATGGGCAGCTCAGTTGATTAGAGCATTGTCACGATGCACCAAGGTTGCAGGTTCATTTCATTCAGGGTACATGCAAGAATCAACCAGTGAATGCATAAGTAAGTGGAACAACAAACTGATGTCTCTTTCCCACCTCCCTCTCTCTAAACAAGTAAAAATTTTAAAGAATGAGGAACTGTCATACATTGGAGGAGACAGGATTGCATGAGGACTAAATGCAATGTAGGATGCTGGGAGGATCTGGAGATGGGTTTTGATGAAGGAAGGGCACCCAGGCCGCCTCTGGTAGCAGCAGTGGAGGTTACATGTGTATTTGCTTTATAATATATGCACATGTGCTTTATGCACGTCCTTGTGAATATGATTTTGTCTCCATTAAACAAAAATGCTGCCTTATGAGTTGCCCTCAAAACTTAAATTGTGGCTGGGCCAGAGTGGTTGAGTGTTGACCCATGAACCGACAGGTCACCAATTCAATACCCAGCCTGGGTTGTGGGCTTGATCCCCAGTAGGGGACATGCAGGAGGCAGGCAATCAAAGATGTTTTTCTCACCAATGTTTTTCTCCCTTTTCTCTCTCAAAATCAATATAAAAACTAAAATAATAAATATGTTAAGTTTACCTTACTCCCTTGATACGGGTTGAATTGTGTCTTTCCCCATTGGGGTGGGGGAGGGAATGCTGATGTCCTAACCCTAGGACCTCAGAATTTGTCTTTATTTGGAAATAGGATGGTTGCAGATGTGATCAGTGAAGATGAAGTCCTATTGATGTCCTAAGAAGACAGCCTGTGAAGAAAGACACACAGGGAGGCCACGTAACGACAAGGTCAGAGCTTGACATTAGGCAGCCTCAACCAAGGGACACCGAAGATTGCCAGCGAGCCACCAGAGGGAGGATGAGGCTAGGAAATATTCCCCTACTGGTTTCAGAGGGAGTCAGGCCTGCTGACATCTTGACTTCAATCTTCTAGTCTCCAGAACTGAAATATTAAGTTTCTGTTGTTTTAAGCCACCCAGTTTGTGGCACTTGGTTACAATCACTCTAGAAAACTATTCTAGTCTGTGAATGAGGACATTTTTTATAGGTTGTCTGTATCTCCCATGAAAGGTCATGTTGAAGCTGTGGGTTTAAAGAACGGTAACAGCTGCCTTTTCTGCTCAGCACATTTGAGCTAGCTCATCCTGAGAGAAGCAAAATTTATCTCTAGAAATAGAATGTTTAGATCTTCCTACTTCAGAGTAATTTAATTTATACTTCAGGATGACACTCAGAATATGAAATTTTTGTATTTAGAGATTCCATGAGAAATAGGTGCTGCACATAGGACTTTCTGGATAGGACATTAAAGATAGGATTTTTAGAACTCATTTAAAATTGAAGCATGTGTCAAATGTATACAAAGTGTGATCTGATGATGAAAATGAAAGTGAAGATGTAACAAATGCTAAGAATGGTGTCCCTCCTGCTATGGAAGTAAGAAAGTAGGAACAATTAAAAAGTGGAGCAAGCTGACCGTGAGGGGTTGTGTGTTGGGCTTGAAATAATTTATGATCATTTATGAGTATTGCGAAGGAAGTACAGAGCATGAGGTCAAGAGTGAAGGTGACTAGCTGGAGGGTGAGGGACTCACTAGGAAAGAGCCAAGGCAGTCTCCTAGTGGCCAATTACTTTTGCAGTAAAATAGCCACATCCCAGTCCCCATGAGCTGCTGCTGCACAGAAACTGCATGCACAAGAACGTGGTACACAACCACAAAGCCTGCCCTCCGCTGCGTCTTTTCCTAAGTGCCTGTATACTTTATTTTTCATTGCTGATGGCATTACAAAACAAATATGGGAGCATGGGGTATATGGCAACCTGTTTTGCTATGAAGTTAAAATTCCTCTTAAAAATAAAGTTTATTGGTTGGCCCTTGCTGAGTAGTTCAGTTGCTTAGAGCATTGTCCTGATACACCAAAGTTGCAGTTTCAATCCCCAATCAGGGCACATACAAGAATCAACCAATGAACACCTAACTAAGTGAAAAAACAACAAAACAATCGCCCCCTCCATCTCTCTCCGCCCTCTCCCTCCCTCTCCCCCCGCCTCAACGTCCATCCTCCCTTCCGTCCCTCCCCCTCTTCGCTCCCCGTCCTTCCTCCTCTCGTCTTCCATCTCCTCCCTCCCTCCCTCCCTTCGTCCTCTTTCTCTCTCTTTCTCTTCCTCTCTCTCTCTCTCTCTCTCTCTCTCTCTCTCTCTCT